AGTGATGGTAAAGACCTATGGGGTTATAGAGCACCTAGGGAATGGGGGGGGGGGACGTTAATTACGTTTGATTCGAGGAAGGAAAGGATTTCTGTAATGCCTTAGAGGGGCCTTTTTTGGAATCAAGGTAATCCCGTCTTACCTACCTCCATAGTCGCTTCCATTGTATGTGGTTTCTCCTCCTCCTCCTTCTAATCCTCTTGTTCTTCTTTCTACTCCTTCTTCTCTTCTTCTTCGGAGCACGCTTGTTAATTGTTCCTCTACTAACTACTCCGTTACAACAATTAACAGACAACGGAGCGGCCTAGACTGACACGCTGTTACACCACACAGACTCCTGCTTCAACGGAAACCCTCTCCAAACCCCCTTTCCAAAGAAAATCCCTACTCATAAAGCCTATTTCAAAGTGATCTCACTTTACACGAAGCTCATTTGCATAGGTATCCCCATTCATAATATGTTTCCTTTCCAAAGGTAAGCTCTTTTGCAAAGGGGCGTCCCTTTTCTTTCTGCGAGAAACTTTCCTTTTCAAAGAGGAACCCTCCTCCGAACAGAATTTTCTTTCAGAGGGTATTCCACTCCGTACAAAGGGGGATCCTCTCCTTCCAAGGAGGTGAGGGATCCCTCTTCGTTTTAGAAAGAAATTCCCCTCTCTCAAATGGTACGCTTCCTTTAAATAGGAACTCCTTTCCAAAGGGGACCCCTTCTTTAGACGATACCCCTTTTCCAAAAGTGCCCCTTTTGTAAACGAATCCTTTTTCCAAACGAAGCCAACTCCAGAAGTTCGTCTCTCTCTCTCTCTCTCCATCCAAAGGAACATCCTCCCTTTTAAAAAAGGGGATCTCAATTTCTCCAAAGGGAGCCTCCTTCCAAGGGAGGATCCCTTTTTCTCCAAAGGGATTCCTCCTTCACCCGAAAATAGGCGTGAGTTATATAATACAACTCATCAATTTCAACCATGTCAATAACCAATCTCCTTCCCGCGTGAAATAAACGACTCATGCAAAAGTTCCGTAAGTCTAAAATGTAATCTACCTGTATAATAGAGACATAAATTTAATGTAATCGACGTAATGGAGCAGCCTCCTCCCTCTCTCCTTCCCTCCCTTCCTTCTTCACTATCCCTCACTCCCTTCCTCCTTCTGACCCTCTCCCTGTCCACCAACACCTTATCTTCCTACTTACTTTTGGTAATACCTTTCCTTATGCTTTGTTACTTTAGTCTATACTTACGTGCCTTTCTTCGTCTTTTCCTATCTCCTACCTTTTCTTTCTTCTCACAATATCTCCTCCCTCCTTGTTCTATAAATTGTCTCCCTACTTTCTCCATGCTTTTTGTAATCTGTTCTCTTTCTCCCTCTTTGTTTTCGTTACTCGACAGTATATGTATCTCACTTCTCGCCTTCCTTCATTACTCCTTATGTTACCCTCTGTTTTCCATTAATCATTCCTTGCCCCCTTTCCCTTGCTTCCTTCCTCTCTCCTTGTCTCTCCTTCTCCCTCTCTCTCTCTCCTATCCGTCATCTTTACCAGCATCCCTACGTCTCTACTTTCCTCGATCTTCCCTTCATTTTCCTCGTCGGTATTAACCTGTCATGCTCGCCTTGCCATGTCCTTCCACGTTCATCTCTCCCAACCAACGAATCCAGGTGCAATCCAAGGGCAGGTGGGGACGTGTAGGGAAGGAACGCTCCTGCAGTCCCTACTCACCTAGAAGTCAGCAGGTACTTGGGTGTCATCCGAATGTAGTGGATGACGTTGTGAGGAGCGACAGTATACTTTTTGCAAGGCTGGCGTTTGAAACGAGCTGAGGTAGGATAACAGATCTTAGCATGTAAATTTTGCGGTGGAAAAAATATATGTTTGTAGTGAGAGGAGGTCAAAGAGATGGTATGCCAGGAGAGATTGATGTTAGTAGGGGATGCAAGGGAAGTAGTGAGAGATATGTGTTGGGCACAGAAAAGACAATGAAAGAATATAAAAAAGGAATAAGGGAAAGAGAAACAAGAGAGAGAGAGAGAGAGAGAGAGAGAGAGAGAGCGACTGCAAGGGAAATCGTCATAAAAATAAAATGTTTCGCTAACTTGGGAATGGCGAGACAAGTAATCGAAAATATATTGTGAAATGAAGCATGAAAACATTTTGACTACAGTACCATTCAGAAATTCGCAATGTTACGCGCGAAAGTTGAAATTCGTCCAGTTCTCAAACAATTCCCGAAGACCAGCCGGGGGTTACCAGCATTTTGTTTTCCTCCAAAACATAAAACGAGGGAACTTGAAGCTGTGTCTCAAAGCTATCATAGTAGCACACTTTCTGCACATTAAGAGTAAAACACACACAGGCACACACACAGCTATGACTCGACCCCTGCAACCACATATAGGTGAATACACACACACAAACACACACACACACACACACACACACACACACATCTGTGTCAACTCTTAGGTAATGGCGAAGATGATTAGCTGAGAAGAATGCTAAAGTGCCTTTTAAAAACACTAGGGAATAGTGAATTAATCAAATTGTTATAATCATAACTTTTTAAAGGGGTGTAGGGGTAAGCCAGCGGAAGGCCTCGGCCAGATGACCGATACCTCCAGCTGTGGGTCATCACATAACTAAGACCCGCGTCAGGAAATACTTGTCCTGTTTCATGACAAATCTTA